TTTGGATGAATTAATCAAAAGTAGGTCAGTACACTTAAATCGACTCGCGCTATGGACTAGTATCTGTAAATATTAAGCCGCAAAAATACTATTTAAATATGAATCCTGCATGTTCTGCGTGTCTCTGTGTATGTGAATGGCAGGTTTTGTTTACTATACTGAAGTGTGTGACGCTCGCGGTGTTTTCAGCATCTGCCGTCTCACTAAATGACGACATAAATACATGAACAACATCCCCAGAACTGCTCTGAGAGTTTCTTCATGAGCATTTGACCGTTTCATTTGAGTAAAACTATCCTCATATCATATACATAGGCTACAGAAACTTAAAAGGTCCTCATGGCAACCCGTCAAAATAAAAGTTTGGTTTAGCTACTACTACTACAACAATTATTACAACTTTTGTTTAAAAGAATAATCACACAATACGCTATTTGTTCCATCTTGTAATTTTATTAGTAAACCCCTTTGTTTGCCAAAAATAGTTTAACTGTCATTTGATTAAAAGATAAATTCAATTAATGTTTTATGCCTTAATTTGCACTGCACTGTAAATTCAAACTAATGGAAATTATTGTCACATAGGTCAAGATTAAGATACTGTCACATAGGCTAAGATTAGGCTGACAAAAATTGAGACATTTCAATAGGCTTTTGAACCAAGTTTGCCTATAATAGTCTATTAGTGTTATAGTTTCATTAAAATAGTTGCGGTCTTCTTAACAACTTCTACAATGGAGCTATGAAGACAATTAAATTATTTACACTTATTATATACATTGTGCTTTTTTAAGTTAATCAACTGATGTGCATTAGATGATGAATTGAACACTCACCTCTTGTAGGTTATGATTTAGTCATCAGAAAAGAATCAATGAGGAATTATGAGAGGTTATGCTATTACACATACATTTCTAACATGTAAATTATTGAAGCCAAATAACTACATTTCCCCAAGCTGTTTAGCTGTAGTACAGTATTCGTAGGCTTAATTATGAAGCATGGAATGCACGGAAGACAAGAGTAAGAAGTACAACCAACACCAGTGAAGGCAGTTTTTGTCAGAGCCCTTGTTATTCTTAATTTTGACATTAATT